GATACAAAACAGTAACTGGCCTGGTTTAAACTTAGGAATTGAGCTCGTATAATATGATTATGACCGCCTTGTAATAGATCATAATTCAGCATATAAAATTATTAAACCATCCATTATATGTCCTTCCATCATCATCATGATAATTATCTAATAGAAAACTATCTAAGCTTAAAATGGGGCTGTGATTGTAGGTCTTATGGTGAGGTAATTAATGTCCATCAATTCTTTCATGCAATCCCATTGAGTGAATGTATTATTCAAATGTCCCAAGTGTTGAGAGTTAAGCATGAGAGTGTATTAAAGTGTAAGAGTCCCTCATATATGAGCTTACTTATTATATCCCACAAATAAACCTCCAATTATAACGTTGTGCAACCTCATCTTACAAAACTACTTTGATATCTCTACTATAATGAAAAAATTCTTATAAATAAAATACTAATAAAAATAAAAGAGTAAAAGAAATTTGATAAGTATGTGTACAAATATTGAGGTTTTTTCTGAAATATTACTAATAAAAAACCTATGGACAAAAATGTGACTATAAGATACTACGAGTAAATTTATAGTCACTATAATGTTACTTTTGAATACAATTATATAGTCACCTAAGGGCATCTCCATCCATAGATTATTTTTGGGATCATTTTGATGATATGGAGGATTTTTTTAGGATCATGGATTAGGAGTTGAGATTATTTTATGAGATTATTTAATAAAATAATCTGGTATCAAATTCTAAAGCTGAATTGTTTTGAGATTATTTCCAACTTTAAGACTCCTCTCTCCATTCTCTAGACATATATTCATAGTTTTTCGTGCATGCTCATGCTTCTATCCATGCTGGTGCACTAGTACTGGCACTAAATTAACCATTGCTATTATTTAAAGTACTGGTGATAAATTAAACTAGCATGCAGCACTAAATTAAGGTGATAACCGTTGCTATTATTTAAAGTACTGGTATTATATTATACTAGAATGCACTAATTTAAAATTTTAAAAATTGAAATGTTAGAAATTAAAATTTCTAACATTTGTAGTATGTATAGTACTTACTATATAATTTGTAGTACGTATAGTACTATAATAGTGTACGTATAGACTATGTATGTATGTATGGAGTACTCTTCCGGTCAAGAATTCCTGACCGGAACCGCCGTCCGGATGACGGCGTTTGGCCGCCTTCCCGGTGGCATTTTTTGATGAAATTTTTATGGCATGTTCTCCATCAAGTCTAGTTTATCCCCAAAAAATTCAGCCAAAAAATCAATCGGGAAGGTCGTCAAATGATTTTTTCAAGTTAACTGATCTGGAATATGTATTTTGCGGACCAATTAACTTGCAAAAATCATTTGACGACCTTCCCGAATGCGTTTTTGGCTGCAATTTTTTGTGGATAAACTAGACTTGATGGAGACCATGTCATAAAAATTTCATCGAAAAATTCCACCCGGAAGGTGGGCAAACCAGGGACGGATCCAGGATTTCTATTCAAGGGGGGCGAAATTTTTCGGTAGTGTAGGGAGTGAAAAAAATTTCGTTAGTGTAGTGGGGCGAAATTTTTCCCCTAGTGTAGCGGGGCGAATTTTTTCCACTACTGTAGGGCTATGCGGCTAATTTTATTCAAAAAATGACATTAATATATACACATCCCCAACGACATTTAAATCTATTAAGTTGTACATTCTAAGTTTAAATTAGATGATGACAAAGACACCAACCAATACACTTTTAATAACTTCTACATTGTTTAACCTCATGAATCGGTTATTATTGATTAATAATTTTTATCCGGCGACCAAGGAGGGTTTCGTGAGTCATGACTCATGAGAAATTTTCTTAATATTAGAATAGTAGTATGTATGATATTATTATTTTTAGAATAGTATGCACCACACACACACATATTGTGCATATTATATTTTAATATTTGTATTAATGCTATAATAATTTAAAGTTTATTATCTATGCAATAAATTATTTTTAGAAAGCAAGAAGTAAATGAATTATGTAATTTAATGTCAATAAACATTTATATTTTGGATTCATTTCACGTGATCTAAAAACTGTGTAATTAGTGTGTCTGATATTTAATATTGTTTGATATATATTTTACAAAATCAAGTACTTGTTTTCTAATAAAAATAATTAAACATTACAAAACTAGGAATTCTTATATAATAAGTATCCTAAATCTTAAACAACGAGTTATTCTATTGTTTATTTGTTTAAGTTATGTAATTATTTTAGATGTTCCTTCTTTTAAATCTTCAATTAAGTATTACATTATGTAACACTATATATTACTTTTGAAAATTAAAAGCTAAGGGGGGCGAATCTAATTAAATTATGAAAGTTTTATGAAAATATCACATATATGGTAGAAAATTTTGAAAGTCCAAGGGGGGCGGTCGCCCCCCCGCGCCCCCCCCCCCCCTAAATCCATCCCTGGGGCAAACGCCGCCGTCCGGACTGCGGTTCCTGTCCGGAATTCCGGACATGAACATTTTTGTGTGTGTGTATGTATGGATGTATGCAGTGGCGGATCTAGGCATCGGGGGTCAGTGTATGCAGTAATACACATAGATGTAATATAGTAATAGTAGTATACTACATGCGAATAATTAATGCTATCAAATACATGACTTTTTATGTACGGAATTTAAACACTATATTCTTATACTTCGTATTTCATTAATGACACTTTTTTAGTCCATAAGAGCAAAAATTAATAGGGAAAGTTCCCGAAATGGGACTAAAAAAGTTCGAAAATTCCAAAATAGGACTGTCATGTTTTTATTCCTAAAATAGAACTAATTACTGCCAAATTTGGAAAATACTGCCATGTTTGAAGTCTGGTACTGCCAAAATATGGCAGTAATTAGTCCTATTTTGGGAATAAAAACATGGAAGTCCTATTTTGGAATTTTCAAACTTTTTTAGTCTCATTTTGGGTAATATCTCAAATTAATATTGCATCTGCGATGTTTTTACTTGGACTGAAATTTGTTGTTCTGACCTAGTCTGCTCCGATAAATGTCTGATCTCTGAACATTTTATAACTATGAAAGTTTAATCTTATCTAGTCTTCTTAAATTTGTGGTTTGATCTGGGAAAGAAAACAGTCCAAGTAAACGCAGTCTTGAATCTTGATGGTTTAAATAATAAATAAATTGATACTTAGAGAGATTAATATATAATATAAACATGTTAAAATAGTGCTCCGTAATAAGGATTTCATCATATATTTTCATAGAATTAAAAAGCCTGAAATTTTCATAGAATTAAAAAGCCTGAAACAAGCTGGAATTACTTTTTGATATAGTTGCCGATTGGGGGGAGGGGTATTTAAAGGTCTTGGACATTTGGAGTTTGGACCTCAAATCCATCATGGCATCATCCCATACGGCCCATAATACCCTGTAAGAAATTACAACAAAAGTAGAAAACGTATGACCACATTAGCCATTTCAAGAAGGTAAGGGAAGCACTTAAAAACAAAACTAACATGTAGCACCAAGAGGAGTCGACCCTCTCTGACCTGTAGCACTAGAAGAACTTCAATTGCCTAATACTACCACATAGGCTAAACACAATTTTTGAGGTGTAGCCTATGCTTACCCTCCTTATAGGGTACGTCCGCCCCTGGATGTATGTATGTATGTATGTATGTATGTATGTATGTATGTATGTATGTATGTATGTATGTATGTATGTATGTATGTATGTATGTAGTACGGACTACGGAGTAATATATTGGTGTATGTCTCATAAAAAAATCTAGGTAAATTAAGGGTCTGTTTGCAACTGCTTTTAAAATCTAAGTGTATGAGTGATATGGCTCATAAAAAATCTAGGTAAATTGAGATCATGAATGAGAAATTTATTGGTTTGAAGAATATTTGATATTATCTTATGTGGAGGTGATATGACAATAATAACCCATGAAAAACCGTAAAGTTGAAAATCACCGAGGTAGATGCTCTAATGTTACTAGATCACATTTTTGTCCCTAAATTTGTTATTTTGGCCAAAATTTATTACTCTGTATAACATAGGGTTGGTTTGCAACTGCTTTTAAAAAAGCACTTCTCAACTTTTGGCTTTAAAAAACACTTATTTTCTCAAACACTACAACTTTTATTTTTCTCGGCTTCCGCGTCAAAAGTGCTTTTACTTTTTCTATTACACAAAAAACACTTATTTTACCAAACACTACCCACTTTTACTTTTCAAAATCATTTTTTTCTCAAACACTATCAACTTTTATTTAAGCACTTCTCCCCATTTCATTAAAAAAACACTTTTTTAAAAGTAGAAGTTGTTACAAACAGACCCATAGTAATTCAGAGAAATTAACAGAATCAACATTGATAGCAATGATAAAAGTTAATTTAATTTTAGTAAAATTTCATCAATACCTATCAGAAAGCAGAACTTGGGAAAGACCGAAAGACGAATCCAATTTCCACAAACCAAAGTCAATAAAGGCTGTATCTGAAAAAACGGAGTTTGGAGGGAAAATGTCGACCAAAAGGGTTTGACTCTCAATCCTCCGCGGTTTTGGGCCAACTTTTCTTACTTTTCTTTTTAAAATGCGTTAACGCTGAATCAAATTCTCAACCCCCCTTGAAATCTTTCAAATATCTAATCGATTTTCCAAATACTTTAGATTTATCAAATTTCCCCTCTACATTCCATAACTTTCTGGAACCGCAGTTGCAATTTAGTTTTCTTGCAAAGAAAGTTATAGCTTTCTTTGGTTTACCCACACCTAATTTTGATTCTGCGAGATCTAGGCTTATACTTATAATAATCCCTCGTTTGATCGATCGATTTGTACTTTTTTCTATAATGATCAGATTTTTGTTATTGTGATCCACTGTGGGTTTTGGAGTGCTACTCTTTATAGTCAACAATCCAAGAAGGCTTAAGCTTTAGCTGGGAAAGATTGAATCTTTGTTTGTGTTCAAGTGACAATTTGAACAAAGGTCTGATCTTTAGCCACTGGATCAATGGGTAATTGTTGTGCCTCGCCAAAAACTTCTGATGAAATTAGAGAAAAAAAGAAAAACCGATTTTCTTCTGATAGTTCACATGTGAATAAAGATGGTAACCAGAAGTTCTATGTGCTGGAGAACCCAACAGGGGATGATATTATGGCAACTTATAAGCTGGGGCATGAGCTTGGCCGTGGAGAGTTCGGGGTTACCTATTTGTGTACGAATAAATCAACTGGGGAGCATTTAGCTTGCAAATCAATTTCCAAGAAGAAGCTACGAACTCAAGTAGATATTGATGATGTGAAGAGAGAGGTTCAGATCATGAAGCTTTTGCCTAGGCATCCCAACATTGTGAGCTTGAAGGACACCTATGAGGATGATCATGCTGTCCACTTAGTGATGGAGTTGTGTGAGGGCGGCGAGTTGTTTGATAGGATTGTTGCAAGGGGGCATTATACTGAGAGGGCTGCTGCGGTTGTGACTCGCACCATTGTTGAAGTTATTCAGGTGAAGTGTGGTTATTCTTGACTTTGATTTCTCTTCCCTGTTATTAGCTATTAAGTATTACTTGGTTTTGTTAATTAGTTTGTCTTTTTTTTTTTCTGACATTCTGGTAGAGCATTAGAACGTGTATATCTATTGAACAATATGCATTTTTGCCCTGTAACTACAGGATTGCCCGACTAGTCAATAGTCATGTTGATCTTTTCGTTTTCTAAGATTGGTAATTTAGGATTATTGTTTTCAACTTTTCTAAAATTTAGTCCAGAAAATTTCCACAATTAGTGAAAAAGTTTTATTCAAATTAGAGATCCAACAAATCGATTGTGGCATTGAATTGCAAAAGACACATTAAAAAATGGTATTTGGTTTTGCTAAGTTTATGAATTAGTTCTGGTGGAGCTATCATGCAGGCTTATTAGCATAATCTTTAAAACATAAACACTCATAAGAAAATCTACTCATCTAGTAGACAAAAGCAGCCCTCCCACGCATAGAGAGTATCCAGCTGATTGATGGAACCCACTCACACAACATTGTATTGATCAAGCTTCCTTTCTCATAATGCTACAGATGTGCCATAAGAATGGAGTCATGCACCGTGATCTCAAACCTGAAAATTTCCTGTTTGCAAACAAGAAGGAAACCGCTGCATTAAAGGCCATTGACTTTGGGCTTTCAGTGACTTTTAAGCCTGGTAACAGATCTTGATTGACATATGGGGTTATAGCCCCCACCCAACACATCTAATGCTTATCTTTTAATGTAGACCTATAAACCTTGTACTATTTTTTCCAGGCGAGACATTTAAGGAGATTGTTGGAAGTCCATATTACATGGCTCCAGAGGTTCTGAAAAGAAATTATGGTCCTGAAGTGGATGTGTGGAGTGCTGGTGTTATTCTATACATCCTACTATGTGGAGTCCCACCATTTTGGGCAGGTTATGATCCACATCTTTGAAGAAATGTAGACATTATTTTTTATTGTTTGCTTTAATATCTAACAATTAAAATTATTTGACTAGAATAGGATAATAGACAAAATGTGATTTTGCTGCTCAAAGGCAAAGATGGCATTTTGGCAGTGACTCAAGTGACCATTTTCATGTTTTAGTTTACTATGCAGTGACCATGCTGGTATTTGAGCAATGACGATAGTGACCAACTAACCATAGTCATATTCTTGCCTATCCGTGTTTTTAGTAATATTATAGGAGAAGATCAAATTATAATTACAAAGAAAACATATTAATATAGTATTCTTACAGTATAACCAAAAACAGATTGAGGTCACTCTTGGGAATATGGACTGGGTAATGTAGCACATCGTAATCTTATAACTTATGGTAAAGTCACATTCTTTCAAGTGAACTAAACATATTCTTGATGATTTTCTGTAGAACACATATTTATCTAAAAATGTTACTTTAGTATATACTTAATCCTGTTAGATCATGTGGTAATAAGTCTAATTTGTAAGACATGGTTTTGTAAATAAGTAGCTTCAAATCACCCTAATTTTTTAGCCTTGTTTGAGAGGCCACATATAGTCCAACTTCACCAACATTTTGTTGTAGAAGCTTGAATTTTTGTTTTTGTTGCAGAAACTGAAAAAGGAGTTGCTCAAGCAATCATACGGTCAGTTGTGGATTTAAAAAAGGATCCTTGGCCTAAGGTTTCCGACAATGCTAAAGATCTTGTTAAGAAGATGCTCAACCCTGACCCCACCAAGAGGCTCACAGCTCTGGAAGTCTTAGGTAATGTTCAAACTTCACACTGAATGAGGATACATACCAAGTTTTCATTTTCATTTATCTTAATGAACTGCTGGTTTTAATATAATTCACCAAAATGTTGGCTCCCTCTTGGGCCCATTTTGTGTTATTTTTTCTGTGGGTTCAACATTATGTATATATTATACCTAGAGCAATTATTTGTTTGATGAAAACATTTCCCACAATGTGCTTTTTCTCAAATGAATTTATTTTGTCAAACAAACAAGATGTGAGTTTGTCAAACATTATTAAGACTTAGGGGTTCATGCTGTTCTTCTTTAAATTTTAAGGTTAACCTCATAGAAGTTCTAATCTATTGTCGTGCATGTGAGTTTGAATCTCTATGTTTGGTTAGTCGTATAGGATGGCTAAACCAATTCTAACCAAAGACATCTTGGGATGTTTGATGCTTGCAGATCATCCTTGGTTGCAAAATGCACAGAAAGCTCCTAATGTTTCTCTGGGAGAAACGGTGATAGCAAGGCTTAAGCAATTCTCAATGATGAACAAGCTGAAGAAAAGAGCTCTAAAGGTACTTTTGTTTTTTGCATTCATGTTACTCTAATAAACTCATCCATTTCCCATTTATCCCTCCGCCCATCTAAATTGGCTCTCTACTCATAGGTTATAGCCGAGCATTTATCAGTGGAGGAAATGGCTGGAATAAAAGAAGTATTCAAATTAATGGATACAAGCAACAATGGGAAGATTAACATGAATGAGTTGAGAGTTGGAATGCAAAAACTTGGCCATCAAATCACTGATTCTGAGCTACAAATACTTATGGAAGCTGTAAGTGCCTTTAATAAACAATAACTACTCCGTATATAATAACTGCACTTAATATGTGACTAGCATATTAAACCTGTGGTGTGTATCATTTCAAAGTGGTGAAATCTTTTTTTACAGGGTGATACTGATAAAGATGGGTATTTAGATTATGGGGAGTTTGTGGCAGTTTCCGTCCACATTAGGAAATTGGGAACTGAAGACCACTTGAAGAAAGCTTTTGATTATTTCGATAAAAACCAGACTGGGTATATAGAGATTGAGGAACTACGTGATGCCTTGGCAGATGAGATTGATTCTAACAGTGAAGAAATTATTAATGCTATAATGCAAGATGTTGATACAAATAAGGTTAGTTTGTTTACTTTATTTTATTTTATTTTGCATTTAAATATATCAATTGTTAATAATACTAATAATAATAGTTGTAGTTGTAATATTAGTAGTAGTAGTAATAATAATTATTAAGGAGTAGTATTATATTGAGTGATGCCATCATGTTCTAGACCTTTTTAGCACAAATTTGTTAAGTACCAGCAGCAGTAATAATTTATTGGTGTATATATACGTCTCATTTGGTTAAATGTCGGTAGAGTCGGGAGCACTTGGCCTGAGCCCACCCCGGTTTAATCCGGTTCACCTTTCACCCATGTGGTGTGACCTGGTTTGGTGATTAAATATGCCATCTTTGTTCTTTCAGGATGGTCGCATAAGCTACATTGAGTTTGATGTGATGATGAAGGCAGGCACAGACTGGAGAAAGGCTTCGCGACAATATTCACGAGAGCGGTATAACAGTCTCAGCTTGAAGTTAATGAAGGATGGATCCTTCAGCTAATGTCCTTTTATATTAAGACATGTATATGTGTGTGTGTTCGATCATCGACATTATTTTTTCCATTTTCTTCATTTCTTGTATTTTGTGTTTTGCATTTTTTTATCTACTTCGTTGTTTGGCTAGAGACCCTCAATACGTTCCTGAGGTTTAGAGTTTGAAGAATGGTGACATTGTCATTTGCTTGTAAATATAAGTATATAGTTCTTGCTCAAGAACATGTAGAGGTTCGGAAGAGCTAAAAATGTTTCACTATCTACGGTTGATTGTGTTTAGTGTATATATACACATCGAACATGAGAATAGAAGGATTCTGTGAAAAAAGTATGTTACAATTTGGATTATTTTACAGACAAAAGTTAGCCACAAGGGGATTAATTTGATGAGTTACGGGTTCTTATCAATCTTATGTATTGTGCTTTACTCATCTTTGTTTATCATCCAAAACCTATGAATTTTTAAAATTTATAGCTTGGTTTAGATGTTTTAGTTTGTTTTTTTTACCAGAAATGTTTTAGTTTTGAAATGAGAAGTTGCAGTTTTTCTTTTAGAAGTTAAAAACGCTGTGTTAGAACTTAGAACTCCACTGACTTAGAAGTTGCAGTTTTTATGAAATGTTTTAGTCATTTGATTGCATATTAAATAGGTCTTCGAACTTTCATGATAAAAAAAAAGGTCTTCGAACTTTCATAAAAGGTTTGATTGCATATTTAATTATTTAGGGAAAATTGTCAAATAGGTCCTCGAAATTTCATAAAAAAGTCAATTAAGTCCTTCTATAGGAGACTTTGTCCGTTCGTCGCGATTTGGGGCGGCCCCGGTGGAATTTTTTGATGAATTTTTTTGAGCATTTTATTCATCAAGCCTAGTTTACTCATACCAAATTTCAGCTAAAAATTTAATAGGGAGTGCATTAAAATTAATTCGAGAACGCAAAAATGCGCAGTTATCTTCAAGAATTAATTTGAACCTATAAATGGGTTCAAATCGGGAACACATTCAAATTAATTCTTGAAGATAAATGCGCATTTTAATTTCGAGCCCATTTTAATTGTCTCCAAAATATTGCGTTCTTGAAAATAACCTATAGTTTATTTGAACCCCCGTTCAATATTTTGTTAACTAATTTAAAATGTTGTCTAATTTTTCTTTTTTGAATTTTTATTTATGGTTACATTAATGAGTAATTAATTTGAGAAGTTTATAACTTACTTAGAAACTTTAATTGCATAGCCGTATTTTTTTTCCAAAAAAGAATCGAGAACTCGGACTGAACCGGCCCGTTTCAACTTTCAAACGGGACGAGTAAGGTCTGGTTCCTATTAATTCGAAACTTGGTATACTCGGACCGACCTACCCGTTAAATGGAACCAACGATTCTTGAAAATTTATCAATTATCCGGATTGTGCCCACCTAGTTAATTAATACTACGTAAAAAAAGTAACATATTAATGTATTTTTGGATGGTTCGATTATGATTATTCCACTATCTAGTCTCTATAACAAAATAAACAAAAAGGAATAACAATACAGATTCGATTAGATCTGATCTTAATTTAAAAAAAAATAAACAAACAATAAGCAATAAGAATAAAACGAACACCAAGTATCAAGTTCGAGTTCAATCCCAATCAAGGATGTTGACATCTACATGAGCAGATACTATAATAGGTTTAGAAGATATATTCAAAAAAAGAAGAAGAATAAAATGCATAAATGGCTAGTCTAGGTAAAATATGCTACATCATTAAATTAGACATTTACTAATTATTTTCTCCTCCAATCACGGTAGTCTATATAGAAATTGCCTTAAATAGGAGTAAAAACGTTTTGAAATTCCAAAATAGGACTTTCATGTTTTTATTCCCTAAATAGGAGTAAAAACGTTTTGAAATTCCAAAATAGGACTTTCATGTTTTTATTCCCTAAATAGGAGTAATTCTATCAAGTTTGGAAAAACATGCCATGTATTAAGCCTAGTAATGATAAACTTGGTAGAAATTAATTTCTATTCAATGAATAAAAAACATGATAGTCATATTTTCGAATTCCAAAACTTTTTTACTCCTATATAGGGAATTCTCTCTCGTCTATAACTACAACTTGCTGACATGTCAATAAAAAATTGGACAATGAGGAGAATGTTTGAATGTAGAAGGTCCTCTAGACTTGATGACGGGAAAAAACAAAGCATTCTCTTTCCAAAACACGGGACATTCACCAAGTTCACCGAATCATATTTCAACCGTCAATCGGAATGATCGGAGAAGTTTGCTACACTGCCAAAACCCGCCATCCTTGCCGAAGAATTCAAAATTGAATTATTTATTAACCCTACTTGCCACTCCATCTATTTTGGAATTCCTTCCGTCTTTCAGTTGGGGCGTCAATCGGAAATGACTGCCCATTGATAGTCACTAGGATCAACCTTCACATGTCATTTTTCCTTCCGTTTTACTACATTTTCCTGTGCTGTTTTTATTATGACATGAATGAACAAATACTCCCAAAAAAAACTCTGACAATAGGGTGTATTGACGTGTATAAAAACGTATACAAAAGAATTTTTGAAATATTATGAACATGATTGCTTTTTGGCTGCTTTAAATCCTTCATGGATTTATAGAGGAAACAAAAGAAAGTGATTTATGAGAGGAGCTCTTTGCGATGCAATCGATCTGCAATCTTCTCTGCGAATGTTTTAAATTTCTTTTTAGCTTGGGGAGATAATTTAGTACGTAATATTATTTTAATGTAATGAATTCTAATTTTCAAGTAGACAACAAATATGGGCTGGAACAAGTGAGGCAAGCTTCTTCACTAGTTCAATGCCTAATAACTCCACTTTGTATTATGTGTAACACAAACTTTTTTATTTATTTAACATTTGTCACAATTTATTGAGACTATAGATTACCACATGAGTGATGCTTTATGTCTCAACCAAGTTTGACAAAACACCACAAGTCTACAATCTTCTTTAATTTGCATCTCGCAAATGTTTCTTGTTCCAAGAGTTCCAGTATTCTATAGGCTAATCCACAATCCCAAAAGGATTTATTACATACCCACAAAACTTTGTCACTTACAACTAACTTATGAAACTTGGTAGAAGATAGAATGGGATTGTGGGTATTGAAAATTATTTAATATTTTGGGCTTATTATTTTTGTGATGGTCCTTAATATTATTGAACCCATGTAAGTGCTATCGGACTATTTTGCATCTTATTGAATCTCTTTTGAAGAACAATTGGGCCACCGTCAGATACTACTGGACTGCTTGTAATGATTGTTGGGTCTTATCAAGAGGAAAATATTAATACGGATCCATTCGGACACAATTTAGTGATTAAATTAATTGTGGTCATTGAAATATCCAATTAATTTAATATTTAAAAGGATGGACCGGTCCTATTAATTTTGAGCTCATTATGAAATAACGGCCCAGTATATAAGAGACATGATCCAATTGATAAAAAGAGCGGTGAATCTGGCTAAGAAATGTGTCCATATGCATGAAAAATAGCTCCGAACCTTGTTAAAAAAGCTGTCCAAATACATCGGACAAATGCTGATTTTTTTAGCTATTAAAATGCAAGCAAATAGAGCCCGAAGCCCATTTTAATTGAGGCCCAAGGCATATGGACGAATTTGCTAAACCCTAAACCATATTTTCACCCCTCCACACCTATAAATAGGGGTCTCAGTTGAGAGGAAGGGAGGAGAACTTCCAGACGAAGAAACGCTGCAGCAAAGCTCTGAAGAACTCCCGAAAGGCTCTGAAGGATTCCGAAGAAGAGGAAGAGATCAAGCCACGTTTTTGTCAAGAATATATGAATAATCCTTTGTGATTTCATCGATTCTTGATCAAACAAAGCCAAAAGTTGAAGAACGTTCGAAGATCTGAAGAACGAAGCTTGAAGATTCGAAGATCTGAAGAACGAAGCTTTGAAGATTCGAAGATATGAAGAACGAATCTTTGGAGATTTGAAGATATTCATATGAAGATTGAATCAATATTCAATTGAAGATCAAGCCATATATCCCGGGAAGCCCTTTAACAGAAGATCAAGCCACATAACGGCCCTTTTGTTGAAGATCAAGCTACTTGAAACCGGAGGCCCTTCAATATTGAATTTTGCATTCAAGAAGATTTGAAGATCTGAAGAACGAAGTTCGAAGATTTGAAGATCTCAAGAACGAAGATTCGAAGAATCGAAGAACGTTCGAGTTTTTTTGAAGAATTAGAGATTTAATTTTAAATTAAATTCTTTAAGCAAATTGCAAGTGAAGAATCAGAGGATTCATATTTAGAGATTGTACCCGATATTCTCACATATTATTATTTGCGATCAATTTTAAGTAAATACTTAAAATTTGTTTCACAAATTTTTGGCACGCCTGGTGGGACAACTCTACCTCTCATCTCTTCACTTTTGATCAAGACTTTTGATCAAGGGAAAACAAACCAATGGCATCAAGCAAGCCCGTGTTCACCTTGAATTATAGAGCATCATCAAGCTCAAATCAAGACATGCAAGGTCCTATCACTAGGAGCCGATCAAGAATCCTAGCTGCACAATCATCCTCGGGAACTACTCCCGGTGCGATGGATGGATCTCGAATTGCACAAGAAATGGCCTGGAAGTTTTCTTCACCCATACGTGAAGTTACTTCCCCGAAGTGGACAAGTAGTGGTGAGAGCTCATCATTTGAATCAGACTCTACTCCCTCGTCAAGTCCTCCACGAAGAACTACTCCGCAGTGGTCGAACGTCTACACTGTGATGCCCACTATGACGACAAGCACCACATCTATGGAAGAACAAATCGCCCATCTAACTAAGGTCATCGAGGGGATGAGTATGTTCATGCAATCTCAAGACCAAAAGTTGAATGATCTGAACAACAAAGTAGAAAGCTTGAAAGGTGAGTCAAGTCATACTCATGAAAAGGATCCCGAAATGCATGAAGAGAATGATCCTCACCAAGAAGATTCGGGGAAGGATATCTCAACCTCTGGGGGCATGATCCCGATTGATCAACTTAAAGACTTCATCATGGGAACCATAAAAGGGAAGATAGAAGGAAGCAAATCTACTTACTCCTATGTTAAGCCATACACTCAAAGGATCGAGGATCTAAAGATGCCTATTGGTTACCAACCGCCGAAGTTCATTCAGTTTGATGGGAAAGGAAATCCAAGGCAGCATGTTGCCCATTTCGTGGAAACTTGCAATAATGCGGGAACAAGCGGAGATCATCTGGTCAAACAGTTCGTACGTTCCCTGAAAGCAAACGCTTTCGACTGGTATACTGACCTGGAGCCCGGTTCCATTGACAACTGGCAAGACATGGAACGTGAGTTCTTAAACCGTTTCTATAGCACAAGGAGGGTGGTCAGTTTACTCGAACTAACAACTACTCGCCAATGGAAAGATGAATCTGTGATAGCTTACATAGAGCGTTGGAGGGATCTTGCTCTAAACTGCAAAGAACGAATCTCTACAAGCTCCGCTATCGATATGTGCATTGAAGGAATGCATTGGGAATTGTGCTACATTCTCAAAGGAGTCAATCCAAACACTTTTGATGAGCTAGCAAGCAAAGCTCGTAACATGGAGTTGAGCATTACGAGTAGTAGAAGGAGAACTGTGGGTATGTATCCCGTCAATAATGCGGTTGAACAACAAGATTCCAAAACTGGGGGCAAGCCCTTTTCTAAAATTGAAAAGAAAGAAGCAATGGTCACGAAGACTGCACCTATTAAGATCTTCACTCAAAATTCAAAGCAAGTTCCTAGAGCCGACTTGGAGGCATCAAAACGCGTTAAGCCATTTCTAGAAGAGATGTTGGAAAAGAAGTACCCCTTCTTAGACTCTGACGTTCCTCTCATGTTTGAGGAACTGATGAGATTGAATCTTATCAGTTTGCCCGAGTCCAAGCGACCCGAGGAAGCCATGAAAGTTGATGACCCCAAATACTGCAACTATCATCGAATTCTAAGTCATCCCACTGAGAAGTGTTGGGTTCTTAAAGACAAAATCATGGCACTAGCTCGTGATGGAAAGATTGAGCTCGCCGATTCTGCTGCAAGCACAAACCAAGTTGCCATCACTTTTGGTATGTTTTCTCCATTCATGGTCAAAGATGACTCGAAAGAAGAGAGCAAGAACTCTCACAATCAAAGATTTCCTTTTACTATCGAAGTGATGGGGAACGACTCTCGTTTCAAGAAAAGCATGAGAGATAAAGAAAATAATGACAAAGAAGATCCATGGATCTTAGTAGCCCGAGATAAACAAAATAAGAACCACAAACATAAGCCACAACCGATGAAGGTGGTAAAGAAATGGGTCAAGCAACAACCGATAAACAAGTTGAAGCAAAAGAAGCAAAGGAAGGATCGTGTTCGTTCCAAGGCTGCACGAAGGGTGATTACTCTCAACGATTTTATGCCAAAGGATTTCAAGAACGAGATGGCTCAAATTTCAAGTTCTTGTCTTAGCACCCATGAAGAAGAAGTTGAGAGTTCAAGTGGATGTCCATCTCTAGTTTCAACTAAGAAAGAAGTGGTCGAAGCACAAAAATCTACTTCATACGTCACTGACATTGTCTTTAAAGACAAAGATCTCATGTTGGGTGCTACTCCCCATAACCGTCCGCTTTTTGTTGAAGGATACACTCGTGGACAAAGATTCAAAAGAATTATGATTGATCAAGGGTCTGCTGTTAATATTCTGACGGTTCGAGCTATGAAAGACCTTGATATATCAATGGATGAACTCTCCCAAAGCCGCTTGATGATTCAAGGCTTCAATCAAGGGGGGCAAAGGGCGATTGGAATGATACGTCTTGATTTGACCATCGGCGGACTAAAGGCAAACACTTTATGCCATGTGATTGATGCAAAGGCTTCATACAATCTCCTTCTAGGACGCCCATGGATCCATGAGAACGGTGTAATCCCTTCAACATGGCACCAATGCTTCATGTATGAGCAAAATGGCGTTGTAAAGAAGGTAGTGGCCGATGAAACTCCATTCACAGAAGCCGAAACATACTTTGCAGATGCGAAGTTTTACCTAAAGGCCAAAATTTCTAAAGATGACAATGCTAGACAAGAAGAAGAATATCGCCCCTTGATTGGACCAAAGCTGAAAGGAAAGCTTGTTGAAGGCGTAGAAGGGCTTACATTCCCTCTTGCAAAGATTGAAATATCAAAGTCTCCTCAAAACACATCTGAGGAGGAAGTAAAAAGTGGGAATGATGTTAAGGCATTTCAGCTCCCTAAAGCACGCACAAATGAAGGATTTGACCCAAACGCATACAAACTTCTGGCCAAGGCTGGGTATAATCCTAATGAACAAAAGTTGGGAAAACTCATCCCGGAGGCTGGCGGAGAAGGAACACCGAATCAAATAAATTTTCAAGGGCACACAGGATTGGGTTATGTTCAGCCGAAACCCATAAGGATCCTCATAAATAGAGCCGCAACGCATCATATTTGTGTTGATGAAGAAGATGAAGTAACTTGTAAACTGAAATATTCAGTCTTTGATCGGATTGAGGGGGTAAGATCAAGGCCCGCCATCTTTGATAGATTGGGTCCGAAGCCAAAGAAAGTTATCAAGATGACTTTACAAGAGCGGCTTGGAACGAGCTCAATGATGATGAAACACGTTGAAGACACATGCACGGGGCAAAACTTCAAAAGAACGTCTGTTCATGAACGATTGACATTGAAACATGAACACAATACATCTGCTAAAGTTCCTCTCGAAAAGCAAAGTCTTAATGAGTATAGAAGTTTTATCCCATCTCATATGAAGCGAGAAACAGATGTGAAAGTGACCTATGGGAATGCATTTAAAGTCAAACCAGTGACCATTGTGCATACCCGTGATCAATATGAAGACCAATATGTGAGTTCATACTCTAACAATCCAGTACCCTTGATGTCGGGGTATAGATATGTCAAATAAAATGTTGAAAGCCTTAAACCACCAATGATGTTGTAAGTGGCTAAACTGCTAAAACATCTCACTTTATCTATGGGTGAGCATAATCATAGATACTCTTGGCCCACAAGAGTTTAAAATGTGTACGGCAAGCTCCTGGCCCGCATGAGTTAAAACTGTGTATGGCACCCCACCTACTTAGATTACCAATTCAAATGGTACTTTTGAACTACGTTTGACTTGATCTCCTTCACAGGAGTACGTAGGCAGCTCAAAAGTTTCATTTTTGAGTTCAGTTATAACAAAATAAATCCCAATCAAGTCATTTTTTCAAAAAAAAAAAATGTCAGAAAAAGGCTTACAAAAAAAGTTAGATGAACGGCGAAGGCATAAGGAATTCTTTGATCTCCTCCTCATCGGAAGTGGATTGAGTTGAGCTTCGAACAGCGTCTCCACAACAACACCATCATCCCAACAACGGAACAGGTGGCGCCGATGGCAGTAGCATTGATGGTGCCTCTAAAGCTTTGAACAACACTCTCATCTTCTTCACTATAACAAATTATAGGGCAATACCATCGTTTGAAATCTACAAGCTCATGCCGCTACAAGCTCCTGCCAAACCGCTACAAGCTCCTACAAGCACCTACCAGACTGCTACAAGCTCCTGTCAAACCGTTACAAGTTGTGCCACTATATCCTTCACACCGACGAAGTGGTCGGTCTTCACACCCACAAAGTAGCGGGTCTTCAAACCGACGAAGTGGCCGGTCTTCGCACCGACAAAATAGTCGGTCTTCAAACCGACGAAGTGGCCGGTCTTCACACCAACAAAATAGCTGGTCTTCACACTGACGATCGGCAATGGGCCTCATTCTTCAAATCGGTGTCATCCCAACAAAGGGCTAAGCAGCACCAACGATCGGGAATCGGCCTAATTCTTCAAATCGGTGCCATCCCAACAAAGGGCTAAGCAGCACCGACGATCGGAAATCGGCTTAATTCCTTAAATCGGTGCCATCCCAACAAAGGGCTAAGCAACACTGACAATCGGGAATCGGCCTAATTCTTCAAATCGGTGCCATCCCAACAAAGGGCTAAGCAGCACCGACGATCGGAAATCGGCTTAATTCCTTAAATCGGTGCCATCCCAACAAAGGGCTAAGCAGCACTGACAATCGGGAATCGTCCTAATTCTTTAAATCGGTGTCATCCCAACAAAGGGCTAAGAAGCACCGACAATCAGCAACCGACCTAATTCCTTAAATCGGTGTCATCCCAACAAAGGGCTAAACAGCACCGACAATCAGGAATCGGCCTAATTCTTCAAATCGGTGTCATCCCAACAAAGGGCTAAGCAACACCGACAATCAGCAACCGACCTAATTCCTTAAATCGGTGCCATCCCAACAAAGGGCTAAACGGCACCGACAATCAGGAATCGGCCTAATTCTTCAAATCGGTGTCATCCCAACAAAGGGCTAAGCAACACCGACAATCGGCAACTGGCCTAATTCCTTAAATCGGTGCCATCCCAACAAAGTGCCAAGCAGCACCGACAATCGGGAATCAGCCTAATTCTTCAAATCGGCACCATCCCAACAAAGGGCTAAGCGGCACCGATAGCAACAAAGTCAGCAACATTCCACGGCACCAACAATCCGGCCAGAGACCACTGACCTCAGCATCTGATGAAATCAGCAACGCCTCAGCTGCCAATACTGGCCCAAAGATGAACAGGAACAGGAACGACGGACAACCTGCTTGATATACTGGCCCGGCAACAAACCTAAGAGATCAGCGATTTCAGCGTCCAAGTTCACCATCGGTCTGCTGCTCGCCATCGGAGTTCAACCCCAAACTCAGCGCCCAACGACCCAGATCTATTCTTGCCGGAAATCAGCGTCGAAGACCATCTCTCTCCAGCGACCGAACAGCCCGGCGGCGAACAGAGAAGCGGCGACCTGCTTCCTCCATGAACTCTCGATGTCGCCCGCAATTAATCAAACCTTCCTTCTTGAACAGGGCACCAGGCAAGAGCAGCGAATCCCGGATATAAAAAAAAATCATCAGCAGCAATTTTGCTCCGGTCAGCAACATCTTGGACTTTGTTTTCAACGAATTCCCCTGCAATATGCCATAAGAAGAAAGAGATACAAAGTTAGAATAAGAACATTTACCTTTCGACGGTCTCTGGCTCGCACGAATTAATGAATGTTGGGATCTCCATAAATATGCTGATTACAGATTGATTTGATCTCCTATTTATAATACTCACTACGTATGTTGGAGCGATCCAGATAAAACGCATGGAAATCAGTCAGATTACTTCCATTAGAATACGTTTGTTGGGGCGGCTATAGGAGTTCTACTATAACTCTATAATTTGATGGTTGTGATTGGCATTGGACACATTTTAAAGGGCCTAGATTCAAAAGGATGGGGATGGAATTGATTGGCCGATTTCAATTGCACGGTTTAATCATTTTTATGATTTTACTAAATCATAAGCTTTAAACGAAGCTTCCTGATGGGTTTAATGATTTAGTTGTTGGCTTTATGAATCTTGGGCCAGGCTTATATTCAGTTAAAGAAGAAAATACTCCGTATATCTTAAGCCGACTTCTCATCTTATGTCGTGATTTGAGCCAATTTATTTCGAGACTTACTTTTCTGTCAAACTTAAGATCCAAGTAAGTCTCGAGGGGGCATTTGTGGGTATTGAAAATTATTTAATATTTTGGGCTTATTATTTTTGTGATGGTCCTTAATATTATTGAACCCATGTAAGTGCTATCGGACTATTTTGCATCTTATTGAATCTCTTTTGAAGAACAATTGGGCCACCGTCAGATACTACTGGACTGCTTGTAATGATTGTTGGGTCTTATCAAGAGGAAAATATTAATACGGATCCATTCGGACACAATTTAGTGATTAAATTAATTGTGGTCATTGAAATATCCAATTAATTTAATATTTAAAAGGATGGACCGGTCCTATTAATTTTGAGCTCATTATGAAATAACGGCCCAGTATATAAGAGACATGATCCAATTGATAAAAAGAGCGGTGAATCTGGCTAAGAAATGTGTCCATATGCATGAAAAATAGCTCCGAACCTTGTTAAAAAAGCTGTCCAAATACATCGGACAAATGCTGATTTTTTTAGCTATTAAAATGCAAGCAAATAGAGCCCGAAGCCCATTTTAATTGAGGCCCAAGGCATATGGACGAATTTGCTAAACCCTAAACCATATTTTCACCCCTCCACACCTATAAATAGGGGTCTCAGTTGAGAGGAAGGGAGGAGAACTTCCAGACGAAGAAACGCTGCAGCAAAGCTCTGAAGAACTCCCGAAAGGCTCTGAAGGATTCCGAAGAAGAGGAAGAGATCAAGCCACGTTTTTGTCAAGAATATATGAATAATCCTTTGTGATTTCATCGATTCTTGATCAAACAAAGCCAAAAGTTGAAGAACGTTCGAAGATCTGAAGAACGAAGCTTGAAGATTCGAAGATCTGAAGAACGAAGCTTTGAAGATTCGAAGATATGAAGAACGAATCTTTGGAGATTTGAAGATATTCATATGAAGATTGAATCAATATTCAATTGAAGATCAAGCCATATATCCCGGGAAGCCCTTTAACAGAAGATCAAGCCACATAACGGCCCTTTTGTTGAAGATCAAGCTACTTGAAACCGGAGGCCCTTCAATATTGAATTTTGCATTCAAGAAGATTTGAAGATCTGAAGAACGAAGTTCGAAGATTTGAAGATCTCAAGAACGAAGATTCGAAGAATCGAAGAACGTTCGAGTTTTTTTGAAGAATTAGAGATTTAATTTTAAATTAAATTCTTTAAGCAAATTGCAAGTGAAGAATCAGAGGATTCATATTTAGAGATTGTACCCGATATTCTCACATATTATTATTTGCGATCAATTTTAAGTAAATACTTAAAATTTGTTTCACAGGGATACTTAATAATATCGTATCTAAATTGGTCATTACTATTTAAATATATATACTATGTATATATCTAGAAATGGTTTAAAAAGTTTTATGCAATATCCGAATAATTAAATTGAATAACATAAGAAGTTGATGTTCAAAATCATAAAGCAAAAAAGAAACTCTATTGAACCCGTGAATAGTACTCCGAGGTACTACGTAAATTGAGAAAGTTTAATGAGACCAAATGAATACTTCTGTTCTTGAAGCAAAAACCGCAATGCCAACGAACTTAAAATATCATTAACCTTTTATTTTAACGTCTTTTCACTTCTACTAAAATGTGATGACCACTTTAGTTTCTAATTTTTTTTAAACGTTTTTTTTGCATATCCTTCAATTCTAAACTTAATATAATATGATATTAATATCCGTGCAAGATAATGACAACTTTGACATCCTTTATGAATGTTTTTAATTGGTTTTAATTTTTTTGATCATGTCTACTCTAGCTTGAACTACTTTGATCTAGTTTATTACTCCCTCCTTCCCTCTATTAAGTTCCTACTTTGACCTACATACATATTTAGGAAATAAATTTGACTTTACTATTTAGACACTGTTTGACACTATTTAGACACTGTTTGACACTGTTTAGACACTGTTTGTCACTGTTTTGCACTGTTTTGATGTAGGATAACTTTCCATTTAGGAAAATGAGAAGATTATTTTGGGACGGCCCAAAAAGGAAAGTAGGAAGTTAATAGCGAGACGGAGGGAGTAGATATTTTTACTCTATGTGTATTTTACAACCGTTAAAGTATAATTTGGTCAACGTCTGTCTTATGTGTATTTTACATTTTACAATGGTATCTTTTATGGCATCTTGGATTGATGAATCTAATTCAATTAAAAACATCTTGGTACACTTGTAAATGATTAAAATCATCTTATTTTTTTTCTTATATAGGTATCATATGCTAATTTATTTTACGGCATGAGGTGGAAGAATAAATTCTAGCCACCTCGATCAATTAAAAAAATGCCACAGCGCCATAGACGTCATAGCCCGAACATATCCCTAAAAACTCTAATTTAAACCTTTTTGGGACAATTGGGATCATTGGAACTTTTGTTGATTCTTTTTATTTTTCACTTAAAAGTGAATTTATAATTGGCATGATCTAATCTGATCTGATTAATCTGATCTAGGTTTACTAAAGCATCTCGAATGCTAGAATGTGCACGGTGTACATGTGGCATGAAATATAGCCACATAAATATTAGCAAATAAATTATCTCTCTCCTTAATTGAATGATTCTATACCATTTTGGTATGTTTTTTTCCTGCAATGTCAATTGCAATGCCAACATCTAGACGGGCTCCTTGACATATGGTTAAAAACTTATCAAAACTGTATAAAATCATTCAAATAAGAAGAGAAATAATTTATTTACTTATATTTATGTGGCTATATCTCATGCCACATGTGCACTGTGCACATCCAAATTTTTATGCCCGTAGATGAACTTTGTCAACTTCCATTTTTTTATTGTCTCATTAAACTAACTTTGTCATTTTCTCTTTTAAGTAAAAATTTTGTGATTCCAGTTAATTAATTTTATTTTCTATGCACAAATCTCAGCACAATGTTTACTGTATTAATCCCGGTGTCAGTCAAAACTGAAGGTAGGGAAGAAGTATGTACCTAGGGCTTATAAAAGATGAGAAAAGAAAAAATATATCCTTGTAATATGTGTGTGAGAACAATATACCCCTGTTCTATTTTTCGAAACAAATATACCCCTAAAGTATATGTTGGAGTGCATATATACCCATGAACTTTAAAAAGTGAAAAAATACCCCTCATTTTCTTATAAAGGAGCACATTTATCCTTGTTGACTTTAAATAGATAAAATGAATTTCAAAAAACACCAAAAATAAATTAAAAATTAAAAATTTAAAAATAAAGAGGTATTATTATGTTAATTAATTAAATCTTTATTTTACATTGAAAATTTATTATTATTCCTTTGTAAATGAGCACCTCAAATTCAAAAATATTAATTTTAGTATTGTTGTGAAAATTTGAACACATTGTTACAATTTTTTGAAATAACAATAGGTGGGAGGATTCGGCCGGTGCACATGTGGCATGAAGTCCTAAAATGTGCACGGTGCACATTTTATATATAAGTAAATAAATTATTTCTCTTCTTATTTGAATGATTGTATATAGTTTTGATAAGTTTTTAGTATTTAGAAACAATTTTTAGAAACAATTTTTAGTATTTTAGGACCTCTAGGGTTAGTTTTGTTGCACTGTTCTTCCTTCTCGATCGTTAGGGGGGAGGATTCGGCTGCAGTTTTTTTCTTCGTTTGGTTGAGTTCGAACATGGAGGGGAGGATTCCGGCTTTGTGAATTCTTCGGACATGTATCTCGGTGAATAGGGAGCAGCAGGACCTTGTTTCGGTTCTTGTTCAATTTGCTAGTGGCCGGTCGTTTTGTGATTCAAAGGCGGAAGATGGAGGAAATTGCTAACAAATACAAGGACATGGCTATTGGGGATCAAGAGGAAGAACTGGTTTTCGAGGAGGAGCCGCGTGAGGAGGAAGGAGACTCGGTCAAGAGAGACGTTTTTCCGGTAGTAGGAACCGTGATCATCACAGATAGGATGGTGAAGTTTCCAGCTCTTCATCTCTTCGAGACCTCATGGCCTCACTCTGGAGGCCGGGAAAAAGTATCTCAATAAAGGAGATCGGCGAAAAGAGGTATATGTTTACTTTTTATCATCATATTGACATGAAACGTGTGCTTGAGGATGGATCGTGGATTTTTGAGCAAATTTGCTGATTCTTCGGGCATTGCAGCCTGGGGATGTTCCTCTCCGTGTTCCTCTGAATGAGGCTGAGTTCTAGGTCCAGGTTCACGATATTCCTTATGATTTTATGAATTTGGGTGTTGCTAGGAGGGTTGGGAATTATATTGGAAAATTTATGAGTTGGGATAAAAATCGGTTTGAGAAAAAATGGAAGCCCTATATGAGAGTTAGAGTTTGTTTGGATGTGGAAAAGCCTCTAAAGGCGGGAACTACTCTCAGGAAGGGGCAGGGCGAAGGGCACTGGGTTGATTTTAAATAAGAGAAGTTGTCTAGTTTTTGTTCTCTTGTGGTGTTATAGGACATGCTGACAGGTTTTGTCCCCTGGTTTATGAGAACGAATCTACGGGCACCAATAGGCTGTATGGGGTCGGTCTACGTGCAGGGGGGGGGGGGGAGCACGGATAATGGGGGGAAACAAATAGATAATTCCAGAAGGTTCAACTGTTCAAGGAAGGAAAACAAGGCAGACCGAGAGGAGGGAGGCAGTGCTGGTCCGGGCAGAAAAGGATGGACTGTTTATTTAACTAGGAACACCAAGAGCGGGTCGGAGAACAAGAAAGCAGGGTCACAGATGACAATAGCGGCGAGCCAAAACGCAGGAGGACGTGGGAAGAGGCCAGTGGCGAAAAAGAAGAGGGGAAACCATGGCCTTGGATGACCCAAAAAACGGGGAGGGGGCGGGTTCAGACGCCTCGATCCGCCGAGTCTTTTGAAGATGCTTGCAGCTGGGAACGGGTGTTGGTGCTCGTTCGTGTGCTTCAGGATGCACTTTAATTTACACGCTTTTACTATGTTTAAGTTTATTTTTTGCACTCAGACTTTGTTTCTTTCCGTTACTGTCATTTTGTTCTGTCAAACTCTCACATTAGGTGAGGGTGATGAGAGTTTTGCTCTGGCCACGTTTGGCTCATGTAGACCCAATACAGGATCAACGAATCATATTGCTTTATATAGGGTGATTGATTCTCCAGCAGGTTCAAGGGTCGGTGGCTGGAAGTGCTTCCTTTATCAGTTGTGTCCCCTGCTGAATGTTTTATTATCAATATAAGCCACCCACCCTGTTACAAAAAAAGTTCAAAGGTATATATACATTTTAACATATACTTAAGAAGTATATCTGTCCCGAAAAATAGAACAAATGTACATTTATTCTCACACCCATATTAAGCTTTGTTTGCAATGAACACTAAAAAAAGAGCTTCTAAGCTTTTGGCTTAAGAAACTAAAAAAATGTTTTCAAGTGACAACTTCTACTTAAATTAATACTTAAAAACTAAAAGCTAGAATGTGCTTTTTTACTTTGGCTATGTTTGGCAGACATAAGTTTTTGCCTTCTAGCTTTTGTACTATTCAAAAAGTCTCTAAAAGCTTCTAGTTTTTTGTTTGACATGACAACTTTTACGAGCTTTTAAAAAATAAAAGATCTTTTTTGAGATGCTACAGGGAGTAGCATTTGGGAAAAGCCCGTGACTTTTAGTATTAATTAGTCGTAACAGCTTGTATAACAAACCAAATTAAAACAAAGAGTCAACTTTTTACTAAACAACTACCACATTTTCTTTTAAAGATCTTTTCAATCACTAAAAAACTAACAGTTACTAAAAAGTTAACTAAATTATCTTCTCAGCTAGTTGTGCCAAACATACCCTTTTTCTATTACAAAAAAACACTTATTTTTACCGAACACTACCAACATTTACATTTTTTCTTCAATTACGACCAACTTTTACTATTAACATTTTTTTCTAAATCATTTTAAAAAATTCAAAAGCACTTGTGAGTAAAGAAAAAAAAAGTGTTTATACTCCATAAAAGATTAAAAGGAGGAAGAGTTGTATCCTGCTCCGTATCATTTTGGACGATTGTTCTGTTCTGTAGTAAAGTTTGTACTTTTTAGAACCAGATGAGGTGGATTTGCGTGTATGGCTTTTTTCGACCGCTAATTGTTCAGCATGATTGACACCCTGAGCCCCACCACTTCCCCAGCACCACTATATATACCATCATCAATCAGCTCTTCCTTCAAAAACTTCCCTCCATTGACAGTTAGTTCTTTCCCTTCATTTTCTCCCCCCGGAGCTGGGAACGAAAGGCAAATCTTCTGCAACTCGATTCAGGTGAGTTTTCCTATGAATTGGTTGTTTCAGATCCTTCTGCTGTTTGTTTTTGTACTACTTTCTTAACTAAGTAAACCTTCCAACCATCAATATATTTAGTTCTTTATAGATAAAGTCAACAACTTTTTTAAATTTATGAATACATTAATAAACAAAATCTATTCAAAGTAGAAAAAAGTTAACATGGTGGACTTGTTAAGGAAAAAAGTTGTACTCCGTAAGTCCGTATATAAGACATTATGGTAGCAGAATCAAGACGATTTGCATGATAAAAGAAACCAATATTTTATATTTCTTCACTACATTTTTTCTTTTTCTTAGGAGTTGATATTTTAAGTTGACATGAAAACATGTCAACTTTTTTCGGTACTAGTTTGGAGTTTGGTCCTTTTTTCTATTACAATTTAGACTCTCAGTTTTTTTTGCATAGGTGCTCTTTCTACTTAGGTGGCCTAATCTATCACTAATATTTGTCTGTCACATTCAGTTTTTTGTTGCAGAGGAGGGAGTAGGAAGAAGATGACGATCACACCTAAGATCACAATCACTGATGGTAACCTTATGGTCCAAGGCAAGACTTTGCTTAAGGGTGTGCCTGACAACATTGAGCTGACTCCCGGATCAGGCGTGGGACTCGTTGATGGTGCATTCATCGGAGCTTCGGCTTCACATACCAATAGCTTGCACGTTTTCCCTGTTGGTGTTCTAGAGTGAGTTTATATACAATGTCCAATCATTCTGGTGTGTTCTTTAGATGTGAATATGTGATATCCTACAACTTATAAAGTTCTTGGGGATCTTAAACATAAATCTGTGCTTCTTGTAAAGCTGCAAACTGCTTTAATGCAAATCCTTGAATAGATGAGGAAAGATATACAAAAATGCTATTCTTAGGAGTACATAACAGTTAATTTGTATTTCTAGGAAGTTTCATCAACCGAGAAGTTTGAACAAAGTGGAAATTGAAATGAAGTAATAGTAATTAATACTCCTTATAATGATTGCTTTGAGTCAACAATATATTCTCTGGGATCAATTTAATTTACTGTATTCGTTGGTTAAGTTAATAACTTATCAGCAATTTCACTTACAATTAGCTATGATCAAATTGTAAAAGTTCATAATTTTATAAACATTTGATGTAAAAACACTTACTGGTCTCCCATTACTACTCTTTTGTAAATGTGACTTCTTGATTTAGTTCTCAACACCACTATACCACCACTTATGAATTAACATATTATATGCATGTGTATGATGATTTAAGACTGTGCAGATGAATGTTTCTGCGTTCTTCACACTTTGTTGGTATTGTTCAACATCATGTGCTTGTTCAGCAGTATGCTTATGAATTGTCTCATGTAATAGGGGCCTCCGGTTTCTGTGTTTATTTCGATTCAAGCTATGGTGGATGACACAGAGGATGGGAACATGTGGAAATGATATTCCTCTGGAGACACAATTCATGCTTGTGGAGACCAAAGACGACAGTGAAGGCGACCACGATGATGCCCCAACTATCTATACTGTTTTCCTTCCGCTCATTGAAGGCTCATTTCGTGCTGTTCTTCAAGGAAACGAGAAGAATGAACTGGAAATATGCCTTGAGAGTGGTATGTTTCTGAGGTCCATCACAAACTTATTAGTTGTTAGTTGTTACTACACATGGAAGCTCATGTTGCTGCACCCCTAATCCGTTCTGTTCTGGGAATGCACTATATATCAATTTCAAATCGTTGAATCTTCTGTCACATTTGTTTTCTATCTCATTTAGGTAATTAATATATTATTAAAAAGGTAAAACTAGTTGCCACACCAATGGGAAGACCTGTGTGCAGTTCCAAACATAACCAGAACCCAACTTTATAGACTGTTGTTACTTGGATCAGAACCATATATAGACTGTTGTTACTTGGATCAGGAATGGGTAATTCCAGTTTAATTTTGTTTTTCTTTCTTTCTAATTTAACAATTTAGTTATCTTAATCTTAGAATTGAATAGTGCATGAACTTATTTAAATGGAATGATTCCAAATAATCGGATACGAACAATACTAACAGTATGAGTTAAAAATAAATGATTGTATTGCAACACACACACATGTATGTATATGCATGTATAGTTATATATATGAGTTTTGTTGGCCATAGGCATTTTGCTGTATTTAGGAGTAAAAGACTTCGTACATATATGAATGACATTATTTATACCCTATTTTTGATGTATATTTTATAATATTTTGGATACTGAGAGAAATAGATATATGATGATCATGGTATTTTGTCTGGGTTCTTTTTGTACTATTATAATTTAAGGAAATGGTTCCAAACTGGAACCTGTGGTTTAGGTTCTGAAAAATCATAAAACCGAACACCCCATCCGACGGTTCCAGATCCGGTTTAACTGGAAGCCGTGGACAGGTCCATCAGCGAGACATCAAAATGGTTCAAAAGATTTTTTTTAAATACAAAACGGGTCAAAAGATGTAAATCCTATGTTGCAAGGTTGTGCAGTGTTATCCCAAAATCCAAATCCATTATCTTCAATCTTGTTATAAAAAAGATATCCTTGAAAAAAGAGTGAGATGGCTGTCTTTCTAATTTGACCATATCTCAGTTCGTTAATCTTAAAATTGAATAGTTCATAAAATTATTTAAATTGAATGATTCCAAACAATTGGATATTTGTCTGGTTTTTAATCTTTTGAACCGTTTTGACGTCTCGCTTGTGGATCTGTCCATGGCTTCCAGTTAAACCGGATCTGCAACCGTCGGATGGGGTGTTCGGTTTTATGATTTTTCAGAAGTTAAAGCATGAAGTAGTTTAAACAGAGAAAAAGTGTTTTAAATACTAAAAGGAATTTGATTTTTTTTTGGTATATTTGGTTTTGCAGGGGATAAATCTGTAAAAACTGAGCAGGGACATCATCTTGCCTACATGCATGCTGGGCCCAATCCTTTTGAAGTTATAAATGAAGCCGTTAAGTATGTCTTTGATACTTCTTAAGTTATAATTGTCACATTAAGGATTTCTTGCTGTATTAGTTATAAATGTCCTTAATTCCTTATGAATAAAGATCAGAATGAACACAACTTTACTCGACACATAATTAATGGAGTCACTTTTCCATGCAACAGAGCTGTTGAGAAGCACTTACAGAGTTTCCATCATAGAGAGAGGAAAAAGGTCAAAGAGTTGCACTCTCCTAATGTCTATTCTGGCTCATGCTTGATTCTATGATAGTAATAACATGTGGAAAAAATATATGTTGTCTCCCTGTAGTTGCCATCGATCCTCGACTGGTTCGGCTGGTGCACATGGGATGCTTTTTACACTGATGTCACAGCAGAGGGTGTTGATGAAGGGCTCAAAAGGTAAATTCATAATCCATAGCAAATTTCTGGTTACTCTGTTCAGCTCTTTCATGTTTGGTTTCTTATGAATATGGCAGTTTGTCTCAGGGAGGTTTCACTCCTCGCTTTCTGATCATAGACGATGGATGGCAACAAATTGGCAGTGAACCCAAAGACCCTGACGCAGTTGTTCAAGAAGGCGCACAGTAAGTGCTTGTTGAAAATGAAAAAGAAACACTATCTTGTTTCTCTTCCTATAAAATAGATATTTTAAGATAGGACACTATGTTTTAACATTTTTGGAAATGAGCTAATTGTCTTTTGAGCGTAGTTGCATCTCTTTTTGGAAGATGATTGAACCCCCCTTTTTTGTTCCATTCTCAAGTCCCTAAACTTTTGAAGTCTTGTTTCTGTGGTGGACAATTCATTAACAGACCGGAGGATTCCTATGGGCTATGGGGGATGACAAGGTTTTTTTTTTTTGTGAGCAAGTGACACATTCGGCTTGCTCTTCATGTATATTTGTGCTTGAGTGCTACAAATGATACAGTTTCAATTTCTGCATGAATATGAAAATCATTTCCAGTACACTACTCTAAAATCACTCCGTCCATCTTTTGTTATTCAAAGACGTAAGGAGTATTATTGTGAAGCAAGAAAGACAATGATGGAGTTACAATTGTGTATGGTGTAATCTGACCTTGGGGCTTTAAAGATATAAATGGTTTTTATGTAACATTTTTCTTGCAGGTTTGCGAACAGACTAATAGGGATAAAAGAGAACAAGAAGTTCCAAAAGAATGGAACAGAAGGTGAAGAAGAGCAAGGGCTTAAGCAAGTTGTGGGGCAAGTAAAACAACAGTTTGGTGTGAAGTAAGTTTTTTAACTCCTTGAATGATTGATTTATGACACTTGTTTAGGATTGTTTTGATGGGTGAGTATTGCTTTTCGCTTTACTAAGTTATATCTATCTGTTATACTACAACATCACTACTCCATCTGTCCTATTGGCTATTTTATAAGATGAACTTTTCTTTTTTGTTTTCAAAATTTTATGAAAACTTTACTAATATAACTCACCAAGTTTTTGTCTTCAACTTATATCATATTACTGTCATTTCACCTTTACTTTTTATGCACCCATATTAACGTTTTTCCCTTTCAAAAGGCTAAAATCGTTAAACAATAACTAGATCCTTTATTTCATTAAAACTCTCTTTCCTTATAATTTCTCAAATGTAGAAATAAATATGATTCTTCTCTTCATCTCGACTTCTTCTAATAAATCCATATGGGCACACGTTAATATGTCCAGACTCACTTCCACATTGGTAGTGTTTAATGTGCGCATGTCGACGCCATAGAGAGCTATGGCCTTTCCTCTTCAGAAATCCCCCAACCAAACCAAGTCTACCGGATGGACATCGTTTATTTTTAAGTGTGTGTTGTGTAAATTTTATACATTACTAATGATGTGGTGTTGTTCCAGATATGTGTATGTATGGCATGCCATGGCAGGTTATTGGGGTGGGGTACAACCAGCTGGTCCGGGAATGGAGCACTACGAAACCGCATTGGCTTACCCTGTGCAGTCTCCTGGTGTACTCGGGAACCAGCCTGACATTGTTATGGACAGTCTTGCAGTGCACGGGCTGGGCCTTGTGCACCCAAAAAAGGTCTTCAACTTCTACAATGAATATCATGCATATCTGGCCTCATGTGGTGTTGATGGAGTCAAAGTCGACGTGCAAAACATCATAGAGACTCTTGGAGCTGGACATGGTGGCAGAGTTTCGCTCACACATAGTTATCTCCATGCCCTCGAAGAATCCATCGCACGCAACTTCCCTGATAAAGGCTGTATTGCCTGCATGTCTCATAATACTGATTCCCTCTACAATGCCAAGCAGACTGCGATAATCAGAGCTTCTGATGATTACTATCCTCATGATCCAGCTTCTCATACCATCCATATCTCATCTGTCGCCTACAACACACTCTTCCTGGGTGAATTCATGCAACCTGATTGGGATATGTTCCATGTTAGTAAATCTGTGACTTTTTGTTCCGGAAATGCTCTTTAGTATTGTTCGAGGCACTTGGGTTGAACTAGCTAATAGATTGAATTCAATCTTAAATTGGATTCAATCTTCTAGCATGGTTCGACGCAAGAGTCTTATGCCTCTGTTGAGTAAGCCCACCAACAATCAAATTCTATCATAGTAACGGAGCAGTTCCAGTAGCTCCAAGCCCGTGGATATAAATGCTTCGCTGAAAAATGTCGGTGGCGCCAAGTGTCCATTAGTTTAATGGCTGCATTCGAGGTTTGGTGCAAGTGAATATTCAGTTTGATTGGAAATGACCCAATTCTCCACTTGAGGAGTGTTAGAGTTCCACATTGGAGAAGTAAAGTGATAGGTTAATAAGACATTGGGTTGAACTAGCTAATAGATTAAATTTGATCTTTAGTGTTTTTCAACACAAATGCCTTATGGCCTTATTGAGCAACCCAACCGAATTCTGCTTCTGCACTGTGAAGTATCATCAATGCCACACTACAGTTGAATAGTTGATGAAGTTATTCATAATTGGGTTATAATACTCATGAGTATGTCTTCAATAAATTGGTACTGTGCTCTCTTGATAGTATAATGGTCTTGCAGAGCCTACATCCAACTGCTGAGTATCATGGTGCAGCTCGATCTATTGGAGGAGCTGCTATTTATGTCAGGTAATGAGTTGTTATGTTTTTCATGATTCTTTTTTTCATCTGAACATGCAAAAGTATCCTCTAATAGTGTTGTCTTCTGATCCAGTGACAAGCCTGGAAACCACAACTTTGAGCTTTTGAAGAAGCTTGTCCTTCCTGATGGGTCAGTACTCCGTGCCCAATTACCTGGCCGGCCGACCATCGACTGTCTGTTTACTGATCCAGCCAGAGATGGAGCCAGGTATAGCGTTTCTTTCACTTTTTGCACCATACGGCAGTTGCTAGTTTGAAGCAGCTATTTAATTGCATGCTTAACTTGAATAGCTTGCTCAAAATCTGGAACGTGAACAAGTGCGCGGGTGTAGTTGGCGTGTTCAACTGTCAGGGTGCTGGTTGGTGCCGAGTTACAAAGAAGACACGCGTCCATGACACATCACCCAGCACCCTCTCTACTTCTGTTCAGGCTACCGATGTTGTTTCCATAGGTCAGCTCGCTAGTCCAGATTGGAGTGGGGATACAGTCGTATATAGCTTCAGATCAGGTATTTGTCCATATTAATAAATTAGAGAAATAAGTGAATGTTTACTGATTGGTTGTATAACCATGTTATAAGTATGTTTTAATCGATGTAAAAAGCTCTTTTGTACTATCATGAACTTGATCCTTGTCTACAAATATCCAATATCAGAAAATTACTCATAACTTATCCCACTATATATAAGAGTTGGATTTCCACTCATACTTTCCCACTAATTTTTCAGACCATTGTAATAGAGATGCTTTTGGTGCTGTTTTTGATTTTTTTTACTTTTACATATCTAAGTATTGTGGCGTCTTCAACCTATTTGAGCCAACTATTATATATAAGTGCAAAGGAAATTCAAGGATGAGTACTAAAAGTGTAAATCACATTAGTCAGGCGACTAATAGTGGAAGAATCCAAAGACGGCTAAAGACTAAAGCATATCATATACAAGTAAGAAGATTAAAAGTACAAAAATTAAGACATACCAAAAGTATCACTTATGTTAATAGTCAAAGGATTAAAAGTGGAAAACGCTCCTAACCTTATTATATGAGTTTTATAGTTGGGACTCATATTTGAGCTCTTATATCATTATATGTTATTGGGCCTATTGAGCTTCTTAAACACATTTTTGTTTTAAAATTGATTTTAGGGAAGATTGTTCTCCTACCAAAAGGTGCTTCACTGCCTGTGACACTTGAGGTTCTCCAGTATGAACTCTTCCATATCAGCCCCGTCAAGGTCTGCCTGCAGTTTTTGCTTATATATATCATAAAAAGTCATTCCACACTTCACGTCTTTCATTAAACTGCTCTTAATTTGTCGTTTCAGGATATTGCCTTAAACATCTCATTTGCACCAATTGGTTTACTAGACATGTTCAACAGTGGCGGTGCCGTGGAGAAGTATGAAGTCCATCTGGTTTCTAACAAACCTGAGGGTGAAGAGGTGTCGAGTTTTCCCGGTCAAAACTGACCCCCAACCGCAACAGTCTCTCTTACCGTTAGGGGGTGTGGGCGATTCGGTTTTTACACTACTCAGCGGCCCTTGGGATGCTCATTGGATGGTGCCATTACTGATTTTAACTATAACACTGACAGTGGATTGGTGACCATGACCATTCCAGTTCCTACACAGGAAATGTATAGATGGCGTGTTGAAGTCATAGTTTAATTAGCAAGTTGTTGTTGCTTTAATCAAAATAAAGCTTAGTATTGCTGAGTATGGTTTGTCGTAGCTAGGGGAATAATGGTAGCAGTGTTATCCAGTGTGAAGTTTCTTTTGTAATAATAAAACCTTCTACCTGTAGTTCTGTACTAATAAAAGCCAGCTTGCTTTTTTTTGCAGCCCCATCTTGATTATTTATTAATTAATGGTAAATCAGTTCCTGCAGGCCATGTTTTTTCCTCAACGAAGTCTCTTATTTAAACACTATGAATAGAACAATCAATTTTCCACGGTAAATTATTTTGGAGAAAATCCTTAGTAAAAGTTCAGTGGTGGATCTAGGATACTTTACCACTAGGGAAAATTAAAAAATTATTAATCACAATTTCGAGTGAATACTACAAAACTATCTATTTTAATCACATTTCGGTTAATTATTTTAATTCTCTTCGATCTTAATAGAAACCATAAAAATGAACATATTTGTGTACATAAGTAACATAACCATCCTTAATTCTACGTATTTTTAGTTATTGAGTACTATTCTATTTTTAAATATAATAATAAGAAATTTTATTTCATTAATTCATTACGATCTTTGTTCAAGTGTAACAAAGAGAATCAATATTGTCATCGATGATTAAGTTGTCTAACGTATATTATAATAATAAAAACGCATATATTAGATTGATTAGTTTCTATTAACCTTCTAAAGTGACCTATTTTGAGTTAATGTGTGTAATAGACGTTTCAATTTAATATCTAAAAGTTTGATATTATGAAATAATTCGTAATATATGATAAAAATAATAGTGATGATGGATAAAAATGTGATTTAATAACTTTTAATGTATATAATTGTTTCCAAAGTTTACATCATATATAGTGACTACAAAAATATACAGTATTTACTACGATGTAAACTTTGAACACAATTATAGTCACTAAATTAAATTGATTAAATCCCATTTTTGTCCACAATTTTTTTTATTAGTAATACATTAGAAAAATTCACTAATATCTTTTACGCAGTTTAAAAGGAAAGATGGCAAAGTACGGCCAATGGGATGGAGGGAGTAGTTTATTTGTTCATATTTTACCCGTGTGGATAATAGTTCTATAATCTTTCACGGTCAAACACTTCGTCTGGATCGTGCTGTCATTCATTTTTATCGCTTTATTGTTGTCATTTGTTATAATTGACTTCGTTTTTCATAGGAGTCCTACACCAAAGTTATGAATTGGTTTGTTTCTGATATCATGTTAAGATACGAGCTCCACTCTAAAAGAACAATTTGATAGGAGTACCTTACAATTTTATATAGGCTTACATGTAGTATGTAGTATATTTTTATACCAATCTGCGTGGGATAAATGTTTCAACGATAAAATCACAACTAGACCTAGTTTTGATATCATGATAATACTTGAACATGTTGACATTAGGGTTCCATTGTAAAAGGTTAATCCGTAGCTCAAGAGTTTAATATAGTAGTAGTAGTTTAATTACTAGTTACTATTACTAATGTGGGAAACACTTCAAACTCTTCATCATGATCAAACACTTCATCTCGATCGTATCAACATTCATTCATGTTTTCATCATTTCATCGTATTCATAATCATTGTCATATATTTTACCATCAAATTAAACTTAACATGAAAAAAGAAAACTTTAGGCATGATTTATTCTTCGTTGCTATACCGCGTACTTGCTTCTTCTTTACTTCTTTTGTGACCTTTAATTGAGAATATGCTTCAGATGTGCAAAAGATTTTAATTGAAGTTGTACACAACATCAATGCCTTGTCAACTCTTAATTGTCTTACAAGATAGAATTTGAGAATGTGTATGATATCAAACACTGCATTCAAATTGCTGAGTATGGTGCCTCTTTTCTTTATCTAGTTATGATAGAGCTATGGTACAATTATAAAATATCAATTTGGAGTTTGATTAATGATGTGATATTATTTCATTTGAAATCAAATGATCTATATTTGACAACATTTGGGGGGTAGGGACATTGGTTACCATTGAGCTACTTTCTGCTGCATACTTTCTCTCTCCAGTTACTTTCTCTCTTCACTTTCAGAGATTTTTTTCATCGGCCACATTACCTCAACAAGGACGCAACATAGTAATCCGGCTAGTTCAAGCTGAATCTCACTGGTCGATCTGAAGTCACGTGATGCGAGCAACTTTATGTTGCATACTCTTCTCTCTCTGAAGTTGCCTTCTCGATCGTTCACCTTCTACCTTCTTTTGGTTGGCCTATTAACTAGTTCAAGCTAAATCTCACTGATAGATTTGAATTCGTTGATCAATGTCAAAGGCCGGAGGAATTAGAGGAGCTAGAGGTCAGAATGGACCTCATAGCATACCGCCTGCATTAAGTTGGAATGACAATGTCAATAGCGGAATAGTGATGCAAAGAGAAGATATATGTTGGGTCATAGCTCTCGCTCACTCGGCTGAGGGAACTTATAAGTCCCAAAGCTTGCCATCCGAATAGAAAAAGCATATAAACATGCTGGAGAGAAGGGAATTACTCAATCAAAACATTGTGCTTATGTTGTTGGCAAAGATCTTGACCCAAAAGAAATGAAAAGACTTTTCAAGGAAAGACACAAGAATAATTGTTTTTTCATTGAAAGGTTCAAACATGAAAAGAAGGTCAATGAAAATAAACTTCTCAATGATCTTTATGTCTAACCTGTTGTTGGTGTACTGGATGCAACAGAGAAATTCTTGGAGTTTACGGGTAAAGGAATCTACAAGGCAGAAGTTCTTAGGCAAGAAAATGATCAACACCTTCATAGTGTAGTTATTGTTGATTGTGGGGAAGAAGCCGATGGAAGGAAATATTAACTTATAAGAAATTCCCACGGACACGATTCGGGATATAAGGAAATTGAGAAAATTGGGAGGGAGCCCACGCACAGAGCTTCCGTTTTTCTCGAGTACTTTTATGCAACAAAAAAAAAACTGTTGCTTAGCCAAACCACCCAGACTATAATTATATGAAGGGAAATTCAATGACAATGGCGGATCTATAGAAAATTGTTATTGGAGCATAAAAATTTTAAAGTTGAGATTATAATTTTTAACGAAAATTATATACTCTATGTGATGATTGACCATAATTTTATATTTTTCAAGATTCTCCACAAATTTGAATGAACTATTTAGATTTGAATAGTATTCGATTTAAAAAAACTGTGATCATTGCTTCGTGTATTCTAAAAGAATTCATTTCACGGTTTGATTAGTTTAGCTCTGATACCACTTTAAATTGTCAGATTTAATTCTAAATGATCAACCCGATAGGAGTAACTCACGGTATCATCCAAGAATTGTTTCATACCACTTTAATTTCTCGGATTTCATTCTAAATGATCAATCCAATAGGAGGAGCAGTGATGACAGTTTTATTATAAATATCATAGTAAAATAAGAGTTTCAATGATGTTGTATCTCATTATAAAAGATTGTCAAACCCTTGCGTTAAGTTTGATTGAACAACCGCTAAGAAAAAATCTTGGGCGCTAAACTTTGGAGAAGTAAGGAACAACTTTAATGTTATAATATAGTCATTGGAGCGCTACAATATGGTCTATAAACCACTTGTGCGTTAATGACAACCATTTTTTTATATTGTAGTCTATTCAAATCTAAATAATTCATTCAAATTTGTGGAGAATCTTGAAAAATATAAAATTCTGGTCAATCATCACAGAGAGTATATAATTTTTGTTAAAAATTATAATCTGTACTTTAACATTTTTATGTTCCAATAATATTTTTCTCTGTGTTAAGATCCGGGGTTCCATACTAAAAGGTCAACCTGTTAGGAGGAGTAGCCCGAAGTTTAATATAGCACTCTAATGCATCTCAATTTTCCGATGTGGGACATTTAACACCCCTCCTCACGACCAGACACTTCGTCTGGTCGTGGCGTCATTCATTTTTTCATCGGTTCGTCATTTTTCATAAGGGGCCCCACACCATGGATCAATTTGGCTCTGATACCATGTTAAGATCCGGGGTTCAATCCTAAAAGGTCAACCTGTTAGGAGGAGTAGCCCGAAGCTTAATATAGCACTCTAATGCTTCTCAATTTTCCGGTGTGGGACATTTAACACTCTGGATATGCCATTGCCATCAAATTGCCCTTCATATAACTATAATCTAGGTGGTTTAGCTAAACAACAACTCTCTTTTGTTGCACAAAAATACTCGAGAAAAATGGATTGGAAGCCCTATGCGTGGTCTCGCTCTCAATTTTCCCAATTCCCTTATATCCCCAATCGTGTCTGTGCGAATTTCTTCAAGCCAATATTTTCTTCCATCGGCTTATTCCCCACAATCCACAATAACTACACAATGAAGGTGTTGATCATTTTCTTGCTTGGGAACTTCTGCCTTGTAGATTCCTTTACTTGTAAACTCCATGAATTTCTTTGTTGCATCCACACTATCCAGTACATCAAAAACATGTTGGCCAAACGGATCATTGAGAAGTTTATTTTGATTGACCTTCTTCTCATGTTTGAACCTTTCAATGAATAAACAATTATTCTTGTGTCTTTCCTTGAGAAGTTTATTTTGAGAAGTTTATTTTGATTGACCTTCTTCTCATGTTTGAACCTTTCAATGAAAGTCTTCTGACTTCTTTTGGGTCAAGATCTTTGCCAACAACATAAGGGCAATGTTTTGATTGAGCAATTCCCTTCTCTCCAGCATCTTTATATGCTTTCTCTATTCAGGGGGCAAGCTTTGGATCCTCACCAAGAAACAGTGCACTGTCTTCAAACGAATCGTCTTAAAGATGTCTACATTCATCCAATTTTTTCAGCATTTTGACATATTCATAGTAGTTTATTTTACTATCAATTTAATCTTAAAATGAAAAACAAATCTTCGTGAGGGGGCTAGTCATACATATCTCACTCTTGATTATTTGTACTCTTACAGGATATCAATTTGGAGTTTGAGTAATGATACAATATTATTTCGTTTAAAGTCATATGATTTTTCTTAAATAACGTTTAAGAGGTTAAAGAATGATAGACAATTGTCGTTTATAAACAAGTGATTGATTTTTCATATTGTATTGCCCTGATGGTCATCATATTATTATGATATGAGTCTAGGTAGAAAGTTTAACTTGCCACTTACTTCTCCAAGTTTGACATGCATGATTTTTTTTATTCTTATTCCTTGGAAGATATGTATA